AAAGTCCATTTGCAAACAAGAAAAAAGAGCAGTGGAACAATCCAGCAACCGGTTATGAGAATGGGAATTATTATCAAGTTTTTAAGGGTTTGTCTTGTGAAAAATATGTTACTTACTGGTTTACCCAAAAGGGAAAGAAAACAACATCGAACTGAGTGAAGAGGCATGAATTCCCACTTCTGCACACATGCCTTGTGTGCATGCCTGCACACATGATATGTGAGTTTGGGCAAATCACCTGGTCCTCTGTGGCTCCGTTTCCGTATTTGTGCATTTGGAATTTCGCCATCTGTCTTTTGTCATCCACAGAGATGCTGTAGGGGCAACTAGCATAATGTATGTCAAAACTCTTTGTAAGATGAAAAGCCACTGACTGCTCAATACCATATACCTCTCAGTGCATGCCAAGCGCTGCATTCTGCAATGTGAAAGGGGCCAGGCAGGTGACTGAAGGACCCAGCCACCATCTCAGTGGTGTCGGCTTTCCTGCTTTTCCAGGCTAAGTTTTCTCAGCAGAAAATACCTGCATTTGCAAATTGGAAAATTAAAAAATGAATTAAGGTATTCAACAAGACCATAGTAATCACATAGCATTTTCTAGATCTTCAGCTCTCTGCAGTGGATGTTAGTAAATGAACATATGATCCCTAGGTAATAATTCCATTAGCCCCTTTGTTTTAAAGAAAGTGTGAAAGGAGAACCCGTCTAGGAGTCAGGATCTAGTTCTTTCCAGTTCTTACTGGCTGTGTGATTTTAGGGAAGTGACACAACCTCTCTAAACCTACATTTTCTCATCTAGAAAAGGGGACTATACTGTTCTCATCCTACAAAGATTTATGTTTGTTTGTGTTCCCCAAAAGAAAATGAGATAAAGTAGCTTTATAAGCCTAGAGCAACATACGAATTACTCTAAGGTGAGGCTGGTTTTTATTATCCAAGGTCACAGAGCTCATTAAAGGGATCCTGGGAAAGTCAGCCAGCATAGACCCTGCTTTTCCTCCATGACCCCAGTGACCTTGAACAACCTGGGGAAGAGGTAATTGAACAGCAACTACTACTTTGGAGGAAACGGAATCAAAATATTGAAGCTATTGACTCACCCTTAAGGCAGTAAACAGTGCTTTGGTCTCTGACCTTTTCGCATCCTGGGGCAGTCAATAACCTGGCCGCTAGATGCAGTGCCTGCCACTGATTCTGATTTGGGAGTACTTTAACCTTGAACTAAGCTCCAAGTAACCAAGGCAACAGGAAGTCAGCTTCTGCATCGGAGGAGTGGGAATCCATAAATCAAGTCCCTAATGCAAACATGGTGTGCAGGTAGAGGTTTGAGGGGATAAGTAGTCTATGAGAAATTACCTTTGAAAATGAGTGACTGTCCCTCGATACACTACAGCACAGTTTCAAAGACTTTTTAAAAAAAAATGTATCAATAGAGGTCAACAGGTTATTAGCAGAATGTTTTCCTATAGGTTTAACTTTTTAAAAAAAATTTCCTCTTGGCTCTGTCTTTTAATTATGAACAGATGTTGGATCCACACAGTTATTAGCATTGTTACTTCCTCCTTTAAAAACATACTGGCCTCCAAACATGCGAGCCTCAGTACAGTTTGTCCCGTGTTGGGGTTTAGGGAGGTTCTGAACATACATCCACCATGTGTGCTCTCCGTACAGCCTGCTGTCCGGAGTTGAGAAGCGATCCCTCCCCACATCAAAGCCATGCTCACATTTACTCAGGTAAGTCGCAGTGACACATCTCAATGACCCAGTCAGCACAATGCTAAAATCTGGATTCCCTTAATGGTGAACCTCCGGCTTCAGACATCTGTCTCCCTCTCATGGAGAGAGGGAAGCCAGCCCATGCTGAGAAGAAACTTTCCAAATGTCCCAGCACCCCATATCTCACCCCATATCTCTGAGAACTTGGTTCTGAACTATTTCACATGTGTCTGGCCATTTGGGCACCTCTCCATGGAGCCTCAGCTACCACCTGGAATGAAGGGAAACCAAGACATGGGGTGGCCCGCCTGCCCAATGCTGTCTCCCATGAGGGGTCACCCATCCCAGGCCCCCAAGCCCTGTGCTCTCAGGCAGATTTTGTGGATTACAAATGCTACTAGATTAGTCTTTGTTGAAAGCTTATCTACTGTACTTGTTCATGTATGCTATTTCTGGGATTGTTTTCATAATCCTCTCAAAACCCCAAAATGTCTGAGAAAACGTCATGACTCTTTTTTTTCCTAATTGGTTTTCAAATTCATTGGATGGCAACTAACAAACAGTACTAAAATCTAGAAAATCCTAAATTATCTGGGGTTTTCAAGACAGCTAAATAGTGACAATTTGAATGATAGAGTTTTTAAGTGTCATTTTATTACTTTTAACATAAACACTTGAGTAGCAAAGTATGCCCAATAGAGGTATGATCAAATGAACTTTAATGAAATGATGTGGACTGAGACTAATTTGGATTGTGAACATTTGCATGAAAATAGGTACAACAAAAATGACTTGAAATCAGTTTGTTCCCAAGTGGTAGTTAAATATCCACTTACTAATCCTGTTTATGACTTGTTCCCTGAGCATGTCCTAATTTGAGTAAAGAATTACCTGCCCAACCTGTGTCCACAGGTACAAAGACAACATTTTAGTGGGGTTTTCCAAAGGAGCTGTTATCCAACAGACCTCTGATGGCTCAGCATTCCAGAGACGTGCTACAGAAAGACACATCTGCATCCATTGAATAGAAGCATGACAGTGGTCATAGAGAGCACCGAAATGGGGGATCCCCATCAGACCTGGGCCTGCTGTCCCCATTTCAGATTGGTAGCCACCAGTTGGTCAAGCATATCATCCTACCCCAAAACCTGTGGCCACCAAGACTTCTAGATTTCCCCCAAAGTCTGCTTTCTCAAAGGAAAAAGAATTGAAGATATTTGTGGTTTAGGGGCCATTAAACGTCCAATTTCAGCACAGGTTGTGATCTCATGGTTTGTGATTTTGAGCCCCACAGCAGGCTCTGTGCTGACAGCTCAGAGCCTGGAGCCTGCTTCAAATCCTGTCTCTCTCTCTCTGCACCTCTCCCGCTCACAGGTGTAGCCTCATTGCACATTCATTCTCTCTCTCTCTCATACATAAATAAACATTTAAAAACTGTTTAAATATTTTTTAAAAAAGATGTTTGTGATTTTAAAAATATTAATAAAGAAGGCTAGGGAGTAAAAGTAAAAACTCCTTCTTCACCAATCTTTCCCATGCTCTCCTTCCTGAGGTTAACCACTGTTAACTGTTTGCATATATCTCATTGTGGGTGACTCTCTATTTTACCTGTGTTATATGCGTGTGTGCCTAACCTATCCCTGACACACCTGCATTTCTCTCAGATAGGCATGCTATACATGTTTGCTGCCCTTCCTGATTTCTTGATGGTCACGCCTTGCAATCTTCCTGTTATAAGATCTGATGTCTGTCTACCTACCCTGTCAAAATGCTATGAAATATAAAATCCAATGACGCATAAATGGTGTTGTTATTTGCAGCACAAGAGGGGGAGTTTCAGAGGGCGGGATGGAGAGTAGGAAGACAGTAGTAGTAAATGAAAATGTCAGCATGACTTTCTTCCTCAGATGGTTAATGGTGCTTTTTTCACTTATGATACTGGGGCCTGTGCACCCTCGATGTGAACTCTGCTGTCGGCAGAACTATGCAGGGTGGTGGACAGGTATTAGAAGATGTCCAGCTGGGCCAGGGTGATCCATGGGTCCTGGATTTAACATCTGGCTTGGATGGTTGGATAATCACCTTTCTGAAGCCAGTGCTGTTGAAGGTGCCCAGAAATCTTTGGTCGAGTCAGGGAAGAGAGCAGATTTGCCAGCTGATTTCAGTTGCGTGAGGAAGCAGCAGGCTACAGTACTGACTGTGGTAATAATAGGAGTAAGAGTAACAGGAAGCACTTCTATGTCATGGACTGTGTGCCAGGCACTGTTGCAAGCACTCTACATTAATTGGCTCAAGGATGCTCCCAACCACTCCTCTGAGGTTATACTGTTCCACCCCATTTGTACAGGTAAAGAATCTTAAAGCTTGGAGAGGTTAAGTAAGTCACTTATGATTGCACTAAGAAATAAGAGAGCCCGGATTCGAGCCCAGGAAGCAAGTTTCCAGAATAGTTCTTACAGTTTATTATAGAATGAATGTCCAGGCCCTTTTACACAGGCACCTCACAGGCATTCTTTTCAGCATCACAAAGACATGACTTATGATGCTTATTAGAATCAGAGACCGAAAAGCCCCCAGATCAACTTTTACTTGGCCTGGTGACTGGCCTGGTGACTGCCGTCACACACCAGACCCCGTAGGGCATCTTCTGTTGCAGCAGACTGGCCCCTCATCGGAATCAACTTCCTCCCCACCCACGACTTAGTGTATGCTCTTCTTGGCACTGAGAACACCATTCCCTTTTCCTTGTGCTTTAGCGTGAGCTCTGGAAAGCCTTTCTTTGCTTCTCCCCACACTAATCCTTAACTCCTTAGCACTCCCCAAGCACCTAGGACAAACAACGCACAAGCCTGCCCTTATGCATTATCTGATTTTTCCTCCTCCTTTAGTCTGGCCTCCCCAGCCAGATGCGATGAGAAGCTAGGGTGGGGCCCACTTCTCCCCTTCACACCGCACACAGCACAACCTCTGTGAAGATATGCTCCTTGATCCATAGAAGCCAAAGGGTACCTTCTAAATCCTACTGCTTCATTGGGCCTGTGCCCCCACTTTCAGGCAGCCAAACTGGAATGCTGTCACCACCAATCTCAGCCACAAAACCAAAACCAGTCATACTGCTAACATGTTTTTTTTTTTTTTTTTTTTTTACATTTTCTAAAACTTCATTCTTGTTGGACCAGAAGGTCAGATGATATAACCATTTTCTCAACTCATTTTCAGGTTTTCTGTTGTCTTTTTCCTGTTCCTTTCAAGTAACTGAAAGCTTTGGGGTTATTTTCTTTTAGGGATGCCAAGTCCCCACCTAAAAGTGGACCAAACGGCACCACACAGTAAGAACGAGGGCTCTGCGTCCACCATGATGACCAGGAAGAAGCCAGCCACAGTTGACAGTGTTGCAATGCCACCCACCCCAGTGCTGTCACTCCTTGCTGCTTCTGCGGCAACATCTGATGCAGGTGAGCACTTCTCAGATGCTTCAGGTTCACCCCCATGACGGTGGGCATGGAGAAGGCCCACTGGTCACGTGCTGTTGAATATAAGTTCTTTGTGTAGCCAACCTCCCACAGACACTGAGAATGCTTCAGCACTGGATTTCAAGTGGGAGGAAATGATAGAGATCAGCTCGGGACCTGGGGACACAAGCCCGTGAGTAGCAACTAAATGATAACAGTATTAATTATTTTTTATCAAGCCTTAGTAATTCCTCATCTCCACATCAAGGGCCTCACGTATATTGTCTCATATAACTCATAAAATAAGTCTGTGAAATAAATGCCTATGTCCTCATTTCAGAAAAGGAAGCTAAGAGTCGAGAAACTTGCCCCCAGACACCTGTGGGCAGTTAGGATTCCAACTTTGGTCCAGTACCCATGCTCTGGAACACTGCATTTTATTTACTCCCTGGCTCACTGCAGTTGGGAGACAGCAGCCAGTTTCCCTGAGGCCTTGATTCATCCTACCCCATGATGTCATGAGTTCCTCATTAGCCACCAGACTCCTCGATAGCAGTTAATAAAATATAAACTTCTTATTCAGGCACCCCAGATACTCTGCCTTCCTCTGCTCCCCACAAAATCTCCCGTGCCTACACCAGCCCCACTTTACCACATTTTTCCCTGCTTCGAGAAGGCAAACGTTGGACTTGGCTTAACACCTTTCCTTGAGGACAACCTTCCACAACCCCTGTCCCCATCCCATAGACCTTCAAAGCCCAGCCTCCTCCGAATGCACACAGCACGTAGTGTCTGTACCATGCGTTTGCTACCTACTCAGAGACTGCAGAACTGTATTTCATTAACTTCTCCCTCACAATGAAATTGTACATACCTCAGAGTCAAAAGCCATGATTTAGGTTCTTGCTGTCTTCATGGCCCCAGAATGATGGCACATTGTGGAATTAATGCACTGATAAATGTTAAGCATGTTGCAGTATTTAGAAATGCCTATTATGCTTTGAAACCCAAAAGGAGTCTCTTTATTGGTATTCACTCTAAACTCATCTTCTGAGTGAGCAGGTTGCTTTGAACAGAGAACTCAGCTTGTCTTCATACCTGCTTCCTTCATGGAACTTACTGGTAATTAGAAAATGCACACAACTGAAATAGCAGAAGGAAGTATTTGGAGTGACACTTCCCAGATTGAGTTCTGCAAAATATTAGTACATGTTTTGTGATAAAAGGTATTTTTATAGTTAAGCAAGTATAGGGAATGCTGCTTTATACCTGCTTCTCTTCCATAGGGCTTTTGAAAGCCTTTAATTGATCAGTGTGCACTGTGAGGTTCCAGGAGGAAGAGACACCAAATTTCACAATCTCATACGACCACAAAACCATTTTTCTGGCAATAGCTCTTAACATCTCTTGGAAATGCTGTTCTCCTCAGCCATTTGAGAAATCTTGCTTAGAAGGAATGGGAAGGTCTCTCAAGTGTGATCATGAGTCTACCCACCTTTCACATGCTAGATGTGAAGTGAAAAGTTCTTGGCGGAAATGCCAGGTAAATGATGGCTGCAGTGAAGCAGGAAGAGGTCAGAGGGAAAGATGTAGGTGAGTGAGGAAGAAGTTACCTGAGACTTGACAGATGGTGGTACCTTTGCGGGAATGTGTCCAGGCAGAGGGAGTGATGTGGACATAGTCCAGGGCATGGGAGCTGGTGTAAAGCATGGAACTCTGGCAAGGGGTCACTTGGCTGGAGTGAAAGATTTGGGTTTGGGTCTGCACTATCCACACAGATAATTACTTATGCAACCTTGTTGGGCTAAGCTCTGGAGACCTCCCTTCATGGATTTAGAAATTAGCCTGTACGTTTCCGCCTTTGCTTGCCAAACCAATATTTCCCAGGGGCAAAAGACAGGTGGTCCCCCAAGTCTCTCCCCTTGGCTCTTTCCATCCAGAGTGAGAGAATGTGTTCTTGGGACCTCCTGCTTCCACGGGCTTGGCTTCTCTGTTCGCATTCAGTCATTTACAAATATGCCAAAAAGGCGTAGAAACAGGTGGGTATTAAACTTTTAAACCTGCCTCTCTGGTAATCAGAGCTGAGCCAAAGCTCTCCTGTTTCAGGATGCAGGAATAGGCTGTTTATTTTTGGCAGTGCTAAAATGAGACCCTCGTGAGACCTTCATATATTTGGTCCATTTCCGGGTCTCAGGCTGCAAAGCAGAACTTTGGGGAGAAAACCAGCCAGAGATTTCCCCAGGTGCTAGAGGCCAGACCTTCCTGAGATTCCACTCCCCACAGATAAATGGATTCCCACAAACCTGAGAGAGTTAGGGTCACACAGCCTGGGCTCATATCCAACACGCTGTTTCACATGTGATTCACACATGATGGCTCCTGAGATTCAGACATCTGCCTGAGGTCGTGCAATTGAATTGGAACCCAAACTTCTTGATTTACTGCCTGATTTCTAGTGGAATCTCACTTCTATCATAGGCTTAACATTAGAAAAGGCAGATTTCTTTCTCCCTAATTATGGACTCCTAATTCTTTTGGGATATAGTGAGAAAACTCATCATTTGATGCTTTAACCATAGGAAAGCACACAGTAGAAACGTAGTAAATAGTATATTGGTTTGATTTCATTTATGTGTATGCTTGTGTATTAGTCTTATATATTTCTAATGAGACAATTCATTTTTGTTTTCTTTAGAGTTCCTTTTTCATCTTTTACTATAAGGAAGGGAATTTAGAAGTACTTCTGGCCTATTTTCAATAGGTCATCCTTTTTACAGAATGCTTTTCAAGACCCAGACAAATGCCGAGGGGGAGAAAGGAAAGGAAAATAAAACTGCGTGTCTTAGAAAGCAAAATTAATTTGAGAAATCCTGTATTGAGATTGTATATATTTTTTTAAGAATTCAATTAATTAGAAATTTCTTTGCTTTTAAAATAATGAATGCCTTGGGCACCTGGCTGGCTCAGTAAAGCATCTGACTCTTGCTTTCAACTTGGGTCATGATCCCAGCGTAGTGGTATTGAGCCCCACATCAGGCTCTGCACTGAGCATGTAGCCTGTTTTGGATTCTCTCTCTCTCTCTCTCTCTCTACCTATGCTTCTCTCCCCCACTCTCTCTCAAATAAAAATAATAATAAATACTAACTTATCTAGTACAGCCCCTGACACATAGTAGATACTCAACAAGTAATCACTGAGAGAAATGAATTATTGTGATACAGTAGCAGCATACTTATACAGTACCAGACATGGCGGGAGACATCTGAGAAAAACATGCTCCATCTTGGAAGTTAAAAACCAAATGGAAAACATTTGACAGACATGTGGTAGGCTGTTGGTAAATACTTGCCAAATAATTAATCAGTCTATAGTCCTAAGATAATTTTTTTTTCAAATAGGTGATCTTTGGCTAAAAAAAAAAAAAGGTAGTGGGACATTTCCCACCTTATTTTATCAATATTATAATGTGAGAGAAATGGATATGGTCAGAGGTTTAAAAACATGTCTCTTCTAGCTCAAGTGTGTATGGGGAGGCGGGTAAAGGGGAGGGTATGTTTTGTTTAAGGCAATTTTTTAGCTTCTCGGAGTCTGGGAAGCATGCTGATGATGAAGTTATTGATTTGGAGGAAGAGGCAGAAGACGAGCTGCAGGAGAGGGAGGCCAGACCGAGAACATGTCAGTTTGTGAGCTACCAGGAAGGAGGGATGGCCGTGGCTGCCACCGCTGCCCCGGCAGGTCAGCCTTCGTGATCAAACTACTCAATAGCTATCGATCAGCCACAGTCCCCTGCCACTGCGAAGGGTCTGATTCAAGGGAGCACTGCATCATCATTGTGAGTAATTAGGGCTAATGCAGTAAAGGCTTCAATAAAGTTTGTTCAAAGTGATGCATAATTTGAAATAACTTCTATTGCGCTGTCCCAAACATGATTTAATAACCGTATCAGATAATCCATACTTCAATAAGTCAGACTAATTTTTCTGCTTTCCTACATATTGAACTAACTTCTCAGGAAGGTCAGGCAACATGGAGAGAAGGTGTGATTTCACTACTGAAACACGCGCCCCCCCCCATGCACCTTTGTATTTAAGATGAGACTATTTTATTAAATAGGTAATAAATCCTGTAGGAATTCAGTAAAACACCAAGAAAATAAAATCTCTGTAGTCTTGCACCTGAAAACCTGAAAGCCTAGTCTTAATGATGGGAAAATGGGCAGGCATATCCATTGTGCCCTCCTCTCTGTTTTTCTTTCACACATACTCTCTCTCTCTCTGTCTCATTTACACTATATATCCTCTCATCTTAAATACCAGGAGAAAAAAAAAAAGATGTGTATAAGGGTTGTTATCACCAAATCTCAACTGCTCAAGGTATGGTTGGGCTTAGAGATAACAGAGGGAAGCAGATGAGCATAGTTCCTGGTTGTATCGGTTTCCTATCAAGGCTAATTCATTATTCTCTGAAACTGTATGATCTGCTTTGTTTAAAACTACCAAAACCTAAGGGTGCCTGGGTGGCTCAGTGGATTAAATGTCCAACTTCAGTTCAGGTCATGATCTCGTGGTCCGTGAGTTCAAGCCCCTCATCTTGACAAGCCCCTGCTGACAGCTCAGAGCCTAGAACCTGCTTCAGATTCTGTCTCCCTCTCTCTCCCTACCCCTTTCCTGCCCACGCTCTGTATCTGAGAAATGAATAAGCCTTTGAAAAATAAAAAACAAAAAAAAAAACAACTACCAAAACCTATGAGTCAGCAGAAATATCGGATGGGAGGATGGTAAAATAGGTGATGGGGCTCAAAGAGGAGTATGCTTGCCATGATGAGCACCAGGTGTTGTATGGAAAGTGTTGAATGACTACATTGTACATTTGAAACTAATATTTCACTGTTATCTAACTGGAATTTAAATAAAAGCTTAAAATAATAGTAATTAAAATTTAAAAAAAACTACCTGTAAAAGGCACGAAAAGAAATAAATTTCACAAGTGTATTAAATGCTTA